GCAATTTGAATCACACACTCACTAAGAGAGGGTTTAGGAGAGTTGGCAAGGCTCAAAAACGTGTGTCTATCTCAAATAGAATCAAAGCCACCTCCAAAGGTGGAGGCTTGGGGGTATTTATAGCCCCTTGAAAAACTAGCCGTTTATAGCCGTTGCACTACGGACACGTCCGGAGATATGCATACCGGACACGTCCGGTATGACTCGATCAAGCCAACGGTAACTAAGTTACAATGATGTTGTGAGGCGCCGGAACTCCCGGCATGCCGGACTTTCGACCGTCGGAACTCTCGACTCAAGTCGGAACCCCGACCCTCCGCAATTTTGAAAAACATGTAATCGAAGTTAAAGTTAGTGAGGTGTCGGAACTCCCGACGCATGTCGGAACTCCCGACCCTCACGGCTTTTGAAAACTAGCCGCTTGGCTTCGGTCATCCATACCGGACACGTCCGGTGTGAATACCGACACATCCGGTATGACCAGACAATGAAACCTCTAAGTCTGTTGAAGTGCGAGACGTCGGAACTCCCGACCCATGCCGAGACTCCCGACCGTCGAAACTCCCGACCTACGTCGGAACTCCCGACGAAGCAACCCGAGAACAACAATTTTACAAATTCTTTGGACAAATCTGGGACACGTCCGGTATGAATACGGACACGTCCCAGTATTGCCGCATCAAAGAAGAAATCGATTAGCACATTTGTCGCTCAAATAATCAAACCTCACATGGGTTGGCTTGAGCACTTATGAAACATTATCTATCAACATGATGCATCCCTCTTAATAGTACGGCATACCTATTAAACTCAAGATCAAAGGAAAAATGAATTTATACCACTTGAGTTGATTTCTTTTGAATTGATGCCGTCCCTTCCAATCTTCATCAAGTAAGGGTGCTAACAAGTTGATGTTGATCTTTTCATTTGAGCATAGCCATCTTGAGCATGTGACTTGATTCCATTCATCAAATTTGAATAACCCCAAATATATCAAGTCACTTCCATCAAATACTTTATTATAGATTTAATTCTTCACATCAATATGACCATCTTAGCTTGATTAGTACCTCAACTAAATGCAAGTACTTTCTTCTTCACCCTAGCTAGGTTCTTCGGCCGCCAAGCCGTCGCTTGCCCTTCACCCTTGCTTAGTACCTCGAAGCCTTTCCTTGTTATCTTCACCATCTCAAGCCATCAAGTCACATCTTGTGTTGAATCATCCATTCATATGTATTGTTATCTTTTTCATTTTAATTTAGCAAGCTTCAAATATGAGACCATTCCATATGCAATCCCTCATGTCTCATTAACTAATAATCATGAGCTTGCTTTCACATAGTACATGAAAATCCCACAAAAAAAATAAGCCTTCACATGAATTCCATTTGCATTGTTGTCTTGTGCTTGAACTAGATTGTTTATACAACAACACATCATTTTGGCTTTCATTAAGTACCTGTGAGATAACCTATTACCTGTTCACACTTAGCAAACGGGTTAGTCCTTTAATCACGTTGTCATTCAATCAACCAAAACCCACTAAAAGGCTAGATGCACTTTCAAATGCTCATTTTGTTTATCTCCAATAATAATAAGTTCACATGTGTTCCTGTTTGCATATATGTAACACTCAGCAATGAAGGATGTGCAATTTTTGCTATTCATAAAGTATTCGACATCTTTATGCATATCACAGTGATCTAAGTGAAATATGAAGTAATCATAGCCTTGTAATGAATGTTGCAATTAAGTTGATCTTGTCCACATACTTAGCTTCGATGTGACTGGTTTTTTTGTTGCATTGTTAGGAAAAGAAACCAAGAATTGAGATTTTCTTGATATTGCTCTATTATAAAAAAAATTAATAGACACGTGCATGTCGCATGTGCATGTCCACTTGAGCTTTAACAATTTGCTGGGTTAGTAATCAATATTTTTGTTATTCAGATATGATTCAGTTGGCTATTTTTTTTCTTTGACAACTGATTCAGTTGGCTGTTGGTATTGAAATGCTAGAGTCTTTGCTTTCGAATCTTGGTCCAAAGGTTAGTAGCTAAAATTATTATTTCCTTAAGTAAGTAGTCTAAAATATAATTTTCACAGTAGTTGAATATGGACTGTGATGGTTATAATCCTGAAACTGTATTTTGTTGATTTCCATTCTTTTCCTGCAGGGGATCTACATTTGCAGTTGCAAACAAATAACGGGTCAGTTTGTTTTTCACCTAATTTACCTGTGTATATGTAGTGGACTTTCAGTAGCTCTGCTCTTTAGCAGCAGGCCTCAATGGCTAACGGTAGTTCATACTTGAGAGTTTACATATGTAATATATATTATCAAAAACTCTAAATCATTCAACAGTCTGCTAATTCCTAAGTTTTTATCTGTAGCCATAGCATGACTATGGTGGCTTAGAGACAAAAAAAATATTATGTCTATGCTTTCCGTTTTCTAATATTTCAAATACGTTCTGTAACAGCCATATCATGACTATGGTGGCCAGCTGGGCCGGTGGCCGGCCAGGCCAGCCAGCTCGTGGTGGTTGGATCGGCGGGTCGGCCTCGATGATGGACGACGCCTACTTCGTCGGGTGCACCACGCTGCAGCTCGGCCTCTCCAAGGTGGAGATAAGCAGTCCCCGCCCGAGTCCCTCTTCCCAATCTGTGTTGATCGCGTTAGTGGTGCAGCAGAGGTTTCACGAATCTGTGGGGAGGATGCGGGCTAAGCGGTTGGGTTCTCATCTGAGTTTTGAGTCCCTCAAACCCATTCGCGATTTCATGGTCTGCGCAGTGCGGCGCGCGTCAGGCGCGGTTGCGTGCAAAGCCGATGGATGCGGGCGCATCCGGTGCCGTCTTGCATGCACATGATCCGGAATTACAAGGTCCTGCAGGATGTGTTCAACAAGCTCAAGATCACTAAGGTGAGACACGACTTAGTTTCTCTCCCTTGCCTTGTACTGCCCGCGTGGGGATTTTTTTCCTAAAATTGATTGAACCAGTTTGTTGCCCTTGTGTTTCGTGCTCTGAATGTTCAGTGCTGATGAGAGTTGATTCCATTTGTGTGATGTGACATACTGACACGTAGACATGCTATGCAATAGCTTCAATTTCTGGGCAAGAATTTGTTTTTTAGTGGTGTTAAGGCCTTTTAGGATCCTAATATTTCTCGATTCATTTGCTAATTCGAAGCAGTTTGATGATGCCATACTCACTGTGCGAAATTTTTTTGCACGCCGTATTGTTTGGTTTCTTTAGAATTTGACGAGAACAGTGAAACACTTTGTTGTCTGCGTCATTTTGTTGGTCTCAATGGAAAATATTCAAATCATGAGTTAGGCTGTTATACTTTGTAGTAAATTAGTTTTTTCTTGTTTAGGTTAATATTTACTAGATGCTCTAAAGAGATTTCTAGTTCTCCAAGCTCATGGACATTGAGATCTTCCGCCAGAGCCCCGAGGTCGAAACGCGTGTCGGTGAGTACTTGCCTTGCAGCTATCATCCGAAATCCTTTGTTCCTTTTAGCAAGTGTCAGGTTACAAGTACTAACTGGGTAACCAATACATACCTTGTATTTGATTTATTTTTGTGTACTTAAGTTATGATCAGTGCATATGAATTGATATCGTGACAACCTTATGAATATGAAGATACATTATGATATTCACTGTGCCAAAACTGTAAAAAGAAGACACCTAATTCGGGGTATCTAACTGAAATCAATGATGTCTAATGTGTGTGTTTTCTACATCAATGATTACTGCAGTAAGAAGAATGTCAGCTCCGATATAAAAGTCATGTTAGTTTGTCAACTCATATAGAAAAACTTGTTAGTGTTGTGCATCTTTACTTTTTGAGTCAAAACTATTTTTGAACTGTGAACAGTTGACCCTTCAAACTATTTTTTTTACAGGACCTAATAAGTGTGATATCGGTCTTGATGGCCACACTATTTTGGTCAGCACAACAGATGCATTGTTTTGTACTTTTCCTGAATCAACTGGAGGTTGTTCTGCTGCTGAGCAACTTGAGGTAGTCTTCACTGCAAGGTTGTCATCATCAAGTTTCATTAACAGTGCAAGGCGCTCAGCGACATCTTCACTATCACATTCGGAATTAGAAGTAGAGTATAGCTGTCCATTAACATAAGTCAACGTATATATAAATTGTCTTAACCATCAGTGAGTCAATAGGTATGACTCTGTATTGATTATGTTTATGCTCTGTAGATATTTGATATCAAATGAAGCTAAGACAACATGTTAAAGTAATCCTGATGCTCTTTCAACGTTCAAACTGCTCGATGTGGTCAAATGGTCGGTTACTTGCTATGTTGATTTTGTCGAGTTGATTAACTTGGTTCTTTCCTGTTGTTTCTGCTGTTTTCCGGATTATATACAATGTCATATAAAATTGCGTAAAACCTAAACTATACAAAAAGAACCATTGTTTGGTTGTTTTCATGCATTCCTGAAATGAAGCCGTGGCGTTAGCACGGGCACTATACTAGTTTTAAAAATAGGGGAGCAAAATCATAAATAAAAATAAATGGATAAGGAAAAAACTATAGTTAGAGTGTCCAGGACACATGAACTTTATAGAAATCAGTTTAATTTTAGAGGATAACATAGAAATAGAAAAAAAATCCTGTGTTCCTTTCTTTTTTTGAGGAATCCTGTGTTCCAAACAGGGCCGACACGGGTAGGAAAGAACACGAGAGCCCAAGTATGTTTGTTGGGCCTAAAAACTACGAAGTGAGATCTGAAGAAGTGGTTGGTGTCGTGCGTGGGCTGCAGTCTGCAGATAGATGTATGTTGAACTTGAACAGGAGAGGGTGACGCGGCGAGCACACGGCCAGAGAGAGCAGCGTTCCCTCTTCCCACCAACTCCCAAATCCTCCCTAAAAATAAGAACAAGAGGGAGAGCGATCGAGCGAGCGAGCGAGGGGGTTGTGCGTCAGATCAACCAGCCGGCGGTGAGGCTGCGGCCTGCGGGGGGAGATGATGGCCGGCGAAGGGAACGGGGACGAAGGGTGGAGGCAGAGCGGCATCGAGGTCAGCGCCCTGCAGTTCGCCTACGACGGGCAGCCGCCGCTCTTCGCGCGCTTCAACCTCCGCGTCGCACCCGGCTCCCGCTGCCTCCTCGTCGGCGCCAACGGATCAGGTATGTATGCTTGGCACTGTCCCCTGCCTCCTGCCGCGGTTCATCTGATGGATTATGGGTAGGAGTGTATGTGTATTCGTATTGATTGACCATCGCAGTTTGATCTGTAGTCTCTAGGTGTCTAGTGAAAGGGAAATCACAATTCTGTAGGCTTAGGGGGACGAGGGGCGATCATGTCTGCGACATAGGATGTCCTGTTGTGATTGAATTGAAGTAGTTCCACTGTCCACTGCCTCAATTTTTAATGGCACACTGCAACAATTAGTGTTTGATTTGATGGTTGCTTACGATGGGGATTGCCTGCCCAACTCTTCGCACCCAATGGCCCCTTTAATGATGAAAACCGCGTTGTTCATAGCGTTATCCTTGGAATTGTGGAATTAAACAGTCTGGTTGTGTAGCTAGGCTTGTGCTGCAGAAGCTGGATGGAGTGATAAATGCAATAAAGTTAACTGCGTGTAGCACCAACTAGTGCTGTTTCTGTGTTATCCATTTTGTGCTACTCCCCCCACTGATTTTTCAGCACTGTGCATTTCATAAACATGTACTCCACTTTCTTTCTGCCTTTCTTTCTCATGGAGATCAGAAGGTGTGGTAGTACTTTAATTTGGAATCTCCAGTGCCATCGCTACGATTTATCTATTTTCCAAGGTTGTTGTGTAACAGGAGGGAAGTCTTTATCCATTTCATATAAAGCTTATGTGATGCACAGATGATCTCTAGTGTTTCATGTAGAGTTTGGTAGTTGAGATATGGTTACCAGCTTTGCTGAGTAATTTTATGTACAGTAGCAATGGATGAGGTATGCCTGATCGTGACCCCTGCTTCCAGCCGCGGTTCATCCGATGGGTAGGACCGTAGAAGCGTATTTGTATTGAACTATTGATTGGCCATCAAACTTTTATATGTGGTCAAGTAAAAGGAAAACAACAATTCTGTAGGTTTAGGGGACAAGGGGCGATTATATTTGTGACTTAGGATGTCCTGTTGTGATATACAGTAGTTTCTACTGCCTCAATTTGTGACGACACCCTGCAACAATTAGTGTGTGATTTGATGGTTGCTTTTCATGGGGATTGCCTGCCCAGCTCTTCACACCCAATGATCCCTTTATTGATGAGAATGGCGTTGTTTTTAATGTTATCCATGAAATTGTGGAATTACATATGGTACTGTAACCTTGAAACAATGTTATGCTTGTGCTACAGAAGCTGAATGAAGTGATAAATTCAATTAAGCTAACTGAATGTAGCACCAACTATTGCTGTTTTGTATATCATTATCTGTTTTATGCTACTTCCACATATTTTTTTTCAGCATTGTGCATTGCATCCAGCCATCCATGCATACTTTTTTTCTGCTGTTGTTTCTCGTTGGAGAGTGAAAAGTGTGTTAGAACTTTAACTTCGAAATTCCATTACCATTGCTAGAATTTGTCTATTTCCAAAGTTGGTGTGTAACAGGAGGTAGTTCCTTAATTCTTATAGATAAGTTTTATGTGCTGTGCAGATGGTCCCTAGTGTTTCATGTAGTGCTTTGTAGCTGAGATGTGGTTACCAGCTTTGCCGAGTAAATTTTATGTACAGCGGCTTATGCATGTACTTATGCGAATACTCAGGCAAGACCACACTCTTGAAGATTCTTGCGGGAAAGCATATGGTTGGAGGAAGAGATGTGGTCCGTGTTCTCAATGGTTCCGCTTTTCATGATACACAGCTAGTGTGCAATGGCGACCTTTCGTACTTGGGCGGTTCTTGGAGCCGTACTATTGGTTCAGCTGTAAGTTCCCTCGCTGTATACTTGCTTTAGGAATCAGATTCACTTTGCAATAGTTAATACATTATTCATTCCAATTCCATCATTATCAATGTTTGTACAAGTACACTCTTCCTCACAAATGGGGTTTTGGCACATAGATCTTTTGCCATTTAAAAGATAAATAAATCCTTAGAATATTCCATTTTGCCTACTTACATAGTTACATCTATTAAAAGTTGGCCATATGCAATTTCTTTTATTTGCAGAGTTTGTTAATTGTGAATGCACAGTTACTCGAGTTCTGCATATTGACAGATCATAATGTTCAAGTGCATGATTTCTCAGTGGAATTTCTCTGTCTCACTTGTAAACAATTTTCTTAGGGTGATGTTCCGCTTCAAGGCGATTTCTCTGCTGAGCACATGATTTTTGGAGGTATTCTATCACACTACAATGCTCATCATTTCAGCATGTCCCATACTTGGGGTTCTTATTGACAGAAGATATCATGAGTCTAACAGACTCCTTTATTTGTCCTTGAATTGAAACCCTTGATTGCTTCAATCATCTCTATGGAGATCACTTCTTCCCTGCGGGCATGTGTTTTTGTTTAAACAAATCCTGCTTCCACATTTGTGGTTTAGTTTTTCCTAGTTTAATAATGCCTTAAGTTAGAAGATAGGCACTAAGATCAGCATTACTGCTGGTAGAAAATCTTTTAGCTTATCATTTCTTTCGTTCTCTACCCTGAAATATGAGCAGTTGATGGGGTTGATCCTGGTAGGCGAGAGAAGCTGGTTGATCTGCTAGACATTGATCTGCAATGGCGCATGCATAAAGTTTCAGATGGGCAGCGACGCAGGGTGCAAATCTGCATGGGTCTTCTGCATCCATACAAGGTGATGTTTTGTTCCTTTTTTGTGTGGATTTTGTTGCTCAGACAGCATGACGCTTAAGCTAATATTGAGTGCAAACTTGATATGGTAGGATGAGAACAATCCAGGACTTATCATTTCATCGTGAACACACTAACATTAGTTATTTTTTGTGATCTCTAATAGTTATTTTTGGTGATCTCTGACAAAGCTGTACTAGTAATTTCCCTTTTTGTATGCTGAATACTTGTATGGTACATGCTGTGGTCCTTGGTTCACTGCTGAGTGAGCCTGATTAGATAGCTGTGTTGTCCATGCCAAAGAGGAACAAAAAAGACAGCTGTTTGCCTTGATTGTTCTGATAAATCCTTGCGAGTACATATTCTTCTAAATGGAAGACAGAATATTTATAAAATTAGTTGTATTGGCATTGAAGTTATTCTGTATGGGACATCTTTGGTGAGTGTATGGGAAGTTCCTCATCCTAATCTGTACAAGAACATGATTTGCTCTGTGATACTGATAAGGAGGGCATTTCTCATGTTGAACATTCCCTATTAATTTTCATTTTGTGATTTTATACTCATTTGTTTGGTTGGTCCTCGTGGTTTACTTTGGGTTACTATATACCCATATTTGTCATGGCATTAAAACATCTGAAACAATTGCAGGTGCTTTTGCTTGATGAAATCACCGTTGATCTGGACGTTGTGACCAGAATGGATCTGCTTGATTTCTTCAAGGAAGAGTGTGAGCAGGTACAAGTTTGTGTTAGATTGCTTGTCGTGCCTTCCTCATCGCATCGCATAACATGAAACGCTCACCACAGAGGGAAGCTACCATCGTGTACGCGACTCATATATTTGATGGACTCGAGACATGGGCTACCGACTTTGCGTACATCCAAGAAGGCGAGCTGAGAAGATCTGGAAGATACTCCGACATCGAGGAGCTAAAGAGCGCCAAGAACCTGCTGTCAGTAGTCGAGTCGTGGCTGAGATCAGAGACCAAACTCCCGAAGAAGGAACCTCCACGTCCTGAAATCCAGGCCAGGCGTTCGTCGCCGTTGGACGCTTCTCCTTTCCGTTCATCACGCCACATGGCCTACTACCGTTGATGATTTCCCAACTCATACAACTTTTCCTCTTTTTCCGCGCCATTTTTTTGTCATATATAGTAGCTGTGAAATTTACCTGTCATCTTCTATGCCTCAGGCCCTTGTACACATCAATATATAGGCACATAAATAAAGTTAGGTTAGGTTGGTCTTGTGTTGATGAGCAGTTGTTGCCCAGCACGTTCATCGCTGCTCTTTGTTTCTGATAATCTTATGCCAGAATTCAGTCCTTGTCACTCTCAAAGGGTCCTTTAAATATTCAGTCAAGTTTTCCCCGTTTAACACGAGAAAGTAATGTCGACCTGTATCTCCTGATGCAACCATTTTGTTTTTTTCTTGGGAAAGATGTATCCTGATGGAGCCACTTTGTACGTATCCAATCCATGTGTACTGTACAGGTCTGTTGGATGCATATAAACTTTGCAGCTAACCCTGTCATTGTTACTTGGTCAACTTTGGCTACCAGCTGGCAGCTGCTAACCTAACCTACCACCCTTCGGTAATGATACTTTTCTTTGGCTGTGCTGCATGTGCTAGCTAGTGCCACCGGCCACCCTATCTAGCCAAATTAAAGGGATGCCGGGCTGCACCTGCACTGCAACTTGGACGCGTTGCTCCCCCGGTGGTGGTACCTCACGGCCGGCCCCACCGTTTGGCGGCTTGCCTGCTTTGTTTATCCTTTGCTAACCTTATCTGTAATGCATTTCACATGATCATTATTACATGGGAAACACGTCAATGTGCAGGGCTTGTCTTTGTCGGTATGGCACTATGGCCGTACTGCCGTCCATGTCCAGCTGCTGCCCATCTGATGAGCAGTAAAATATACATACACTGATACACACATATGTCTGTGTATGCGTCCTGTGCAAGCTATCATTGACTTTTGTCCTGTTCATTTGACTGATAAGTCATGACTAAAAATATTGTTGACTGATTTATTATGAGAAAAAAATATTATTTATTGACTGAAAAAGTACGACTTATAAACCAAGCGAACAAGCACGGCACTAGTACCACCGACATGTCCAGTGATGACCGAAATCAGTGCAGCACGCAGTTCATTTCAGCTTACGCCAGCACGGCCGAATTTTTTACTTTTTGACCCTTTTTTCGAAAGTTTCTCTCAAATAGACCCCTGGCGGAAAGAATTACAGAAATGGACCCTTGGCTCGGCGCCAGAGTGAGTGGCGCCGAGCTCGGCGCCACTGATGATCGGCGCCGAGCTCTCGCCACGGCAAACGGCTCGCAGAGGGGCTCGGCGCCCGAGAGCGGATGGCGCCGAGCTGAGCCAACAGATCTTGGCGCCGAGCTCACCCTCACTCACTGCACCGAGCTCGGCCTAAATATCTACCCTACGGTGATTCTTCCTCCTCTAGTTGCCCTAGCTAGCCCCCGCCCGCCCGCCCGCGCCCACCACGCCCGCCACAAGACGACGTCTCCGCGCCTTCTTTCACATACATACGCCATGCCACCACCCTGCCACCCGCCCACGCCACGCCTCGCCAGCCGCCTTAGCGCTGAAGGCCGCCTCATTACAGCGCCCGCCACGCATGCCGTCATGCCAAGCAGCATAGCCCCCATACCGATGATGAGGACATCACCGCTTTCGGATATAACCACATTGGCAACTTTTGATTCACAGTGAAACAATTCTTTATCATGATTGTATTTGATACATTTGATGAATTGATGCTTTTCACCATGATGTGTGTTCATTCTCATTTTCAGAATTACTTACATGGATCAAGGAAGGTTTGATTGCATATGGAAAGCATGGAAGGTTAATGAAGTTGATTGGGGACCAAATCCAAGTATTCCTAACGTCCTCCACTAGGCAACCACGTCGCTTTGGTTCCAAGGACAGAAAGAGTCCAAGTACAACACGTTTTGGAAGTTGAATTCGGACTGCAAAATAGTCCCAAATTGCGACGGTCGCCACGACTTCATACGGACTCCGATTGGGACGTTCTAGCACTTTTTGGAAAGCTTATCAAGTCTATTTTCCAACGGATCTGGACTCATGGCCATATCTTATCCGATGCTTCTGCAGTCGTCGTTTCAACGCCGGGACCTTTTTCTGCCTTTGGTGTCACGTCACCCTATTTTGGGCCGATGACCCATGTATCAAGTTGGGTCCATTAGGGACGCGTCCTAGGGTTGGAGAACGACCCCAACACCCCCTGGTCGTTCCCCTATGTATTAATAAGGATTAGAGCCGCCACAAACAGATTGGGTTTTGTTTAGATCAAGTTTAGCCATTGCTACTTCCTTGTAGACGCGTGTGTCGACTAGACCATCCGTTCTACTTGATTCAGAACCCAAACTTTGTGATTTCAGATTGATTTTCATCTCCATATTTGCAATTGAGTTGCTTGTTCTTGCTTGTTCCTTGATTGCTTGCAGGAATTACCCTAGTGGTTTGGTTGATCGCGCTCCACAAGATCGCGGCAGCTATTGGAGGTGGTGTATCGGTTGCTAAGGCGTAGCTTGGAAGGCTGTAGTCGGGCCGTGAACATCGTCTCCACCCATCAATCGAGTTATCCCACACCTCTCATCGAAAGATCGGGAACAAACCCTAGCGGGATCATATCACGCGCTTCACGCCTTGCCACTGCCGCTTCACGCGCCACTCACTCACTGCCACGCCACTGCGCTGAGCTGAGCTGCCGAAACCAGCGCCAGCCCGTCCGACCTGAAGCTGCTGCTTGCTTGCTCGGCGACCGAGCCCAGCGCCACGCCTCTCTGCTCCCTCGCCTGAGCCTGCGCCACACTCATGTGCCTCTCTGCTGTTGGTGGTTGTTGGTTGGGCAGCAGGCCGAAGCCGCCGCGCCCCACCGTCGTCGTAGCCTTTGTCTCCACCGCCGCCGCCCTCGCCTCGCCCGCCTGCTGCCGACGCCCACCGCTGTCCTCGCCTCGCCCGCCTCCCGCGGCCGCCGAGCCGGTCTCAGCAGCGAGGGCGCCACCCCACCCCCGACATGCCAAGCGCCACCTCTGTCGTTGGTCACGCCCACCGCAGATCTGGATATTCGCCTTGACCTCGCCCATCGTCCGTCGACCCGTAAAGGTATAAAATATGAATATGCAATGTACCTATTTAGTTGGTGTATGTTATTGACTAGTTATATTGTGATGACTTTGTTAGTTGATTTAGTTATATATATATGTAGATAGATAGAAACATAGATACATTGATAAATAGATATAGTTAGATAGCTACTTAGATATGTAGTTATATTTGTAGTTAACTACATATGATCTTGCTATTTAGTGAGTACACTATAAATATATACGTAGTTATGATCATGATTACTTAGTTTGTAGTTAGAAAGTACTTGTTAGGTACTATCTATCGTATAATTTGGACTAAAGGACATGTGTTTCATTCGCTTTTTTTAAATAGATGGACAACCTAGTGACCATATATCATGGAGGCACGGTTGAAAGCGATCGTTATGGATATGTTGAGTTTCTTGACATGCAAAGCGTGCTGTGCTATTCAATGATAGACCTTCATTTAGTGATATGGTTGCAAGGGCTCGGGAGGAGCTGCATTGCTTTGGAGATGATGACATTGCAGCTTGATGGTGTATCGCACCTAGGTTGTCCTCCCAACATCTTGAAAGCGAATGATCTCAATTGGTTGTGCGGATCGGTGGGACAACTATGTGAGATCGGCTATGAAGAGCCAAATTTGCAATGTTTGGACGTGGTTGTTCGTCGGGTTGTTAGTTGATCCAATCCCTCATGGGTTTACCCCAAAGAATGGATCATCCAAAGACACATCGACCCTCCCGCTCGAACCTTACTCGCATGTGCGCAGATTAAGCCTCGGGTCCTCGATGCTCAATCTCCCCAATGCGTTATTTGGAGATGGTTGTCATACTCATGTTTTCGTGGCAGATCCTCCTTATGAGATCCCTTTGACACAGAATCATCCGAGTAAGTGTCTTAACCGCATGGTTTTTGGGAGCTCATCAGAATCATGGTATTTTTTTTCATTCTTTCCTCATTTCTGTAATGACGTTGCAGGAGACATTCCTGAGAATATCGATGTGCCCCATGTTGCTGCGCAAGTGCACTTTTCAGATGGATTTCGTGGCTCCAATGATGTTGAAATTATGAATGATTCAGAGCCATATGAGATGGCTAGGGCTCTTGATTCTGATGATGATCGTGCTGTTGGAGAGCTGACGGAGAGTGATGTTGAGATGATGAGACGTATCTTTCCCGACCGCCGTGATCCTAGAGTTCATGAGTTTAGTGATCTTGCTCATTCTGATCTGGCGTTTGCAAAAGGACGTGATGATGAGCTCCTAGAAGCTCCTGAGGCCGGTCCTAACATGGTAATTGAGGAGGGGAGGGTGTTCAATGACCTCCCTGCTTTGAAGAGGTGGTTGCGCGCTTTTTGCAAAGGATACTGAAAAGAGGCCTTACAGTATTGCATTCATATGTGGAGCGCCACACACGCTTGTGTGTGACAAGGAACGCTGCCCATGGAGGGTTTGTGCAAGGAAGCAACAGTGACCTAAAATGGAAGATCACAAAAGTAGTTGGGCCACACAATTGTCTCGACCATGAGTCGACAACGAGGCATCGGCAGCTGACATCTACCCTAATTGCCAAGCGGTTGATGGGAATTTTGCAGGAGAACCCAACATGAAGGTGAGAACAATTATCGTGACCGTTGAGGCGTTGTATGGAGGATATGTGATAACTTATGGTAAAGCATGGAGGCTAAGCAATGAGCGCGTAGAACATGATATATGGGGACTGGGAGGATGGGTATGAGCAACTGCCAGTTCTTTTCAATGCAATCAAAGCGGTGAATCCAGGCATGCATTATGAGTACATCCCAAAACCTAATGCATGGAAGGATGGGAGGCAGATATTTTTCCGTGCCTTCTGGTGCTTTCCTCAGTGTGTCGAGGCCTTTAGGCATTGTCGTCCCGTCTTCTCCATTGATGGTACGTTCTTGATTGGCAAATACCAGGGCACAC